TTTCAAGGAAGAATTCGTGAAATATCTGATTTTTTTTAATAGGTTAACATTTAGGGATATATACATGAATTTTCATTAAATGTATAATATGATTTATAAACTTTAATTTTATATAATTATATACACATACAACAACAACAACAAAACCCTATTCTCATATGTAATGGGGTAAGGGGAGGTAGGGTAGTAGGTTACCCCCAACGCCTAGTTGAGAGCAGCTTCCGTGAAAGACCTCCAATAGTCAAAAAAGTAAAAATAAAGATAAAATGCAATGCATATATAAATAAATAAATAAATAAATACATAGTTGAACAGTCTTCATATGCTTTCTTCATATACGCGTTTGTAATGGAAGTAATCACTGCAAATAAATTCTTGCATAAAAAATCTCTGCATATAGACAGAAACGTAAGACCCGACTAAATTTAAAAAGAGGAAACATGAAGAGAAGGATATACAGAAGTCAATGATAGCAAGCTACGAGAAGGAATAAAGTCAAAATGGGTTAAAACCTAAACTAAGGCAACACTACTCCGCTACCCTAGTTTTAAGCCTTCATAATTTCCAATGATAGAAACGTATATGGAAATTACTACAAATGTATTAAAAGAAGATAGAGATGATACACCCTATGGATGTAACCCGCACTACTCGGCTACCCTGGTCTTAAGTCTCCATATTTTTCTATCAGAGGTCATGTCCTCGGTAAGGGCTAAATCCTTCAAATCAAATCTCAAGTAGTCTTCCCACTTCCGCCTTGGTCGTCCTCTCCTTCTGGCACCGTCGACTGTAATCGACTCTACCCTCCTGACCGTATCCGATAGTTGTCGCCTAAAGACATGCCCAAACCACCGTAGTCTTCCCTCCCTCAATTTTTCGAATACATGCACCACCCCCAAGGACATCCTAATAGCAGAGTTTGGTGTCATGTCCCACAGAGTCCTACCACATGTCCATCGAAGCATTCTCATTTCTGCGGTCTCCATCCTCCTTACGTGATTCTCCTTGTTTGCCCAACATTCTGATCCATACAGTAGCACTGGTCTTATTTCCATTCTATAAAATTTTCCCTTAAGTTTTAGAGGCACCTTCTTGTCACACAAAACTCCAGTAGCATCCCTCCACTTTAGCCATCCCGCCTTTATACGGTGTGTAACGTCATCATCCACACCCCCATCTTTATGTATTATAGACCCTAGGTACTTAAAACAATCCTTTGAGGGGAGAACATGTCCTTTTATGCATACTTCTACATCTTCATCGTTTTGGTTCCCACTGAAGTTTGAACATAAATACTCTGTCTTTTAAATATTGATCCTTAGACCTTTTTCTTCCAAAGCAGTCTTCCAGGTAGCCAGTCGACTATTCAGCTCAGTTTTTGTTTCAGCAACTAGGACAATGTCGTCAGCGAAAAACATACATCATGGAACACCGTCTGGTGTCGCACAATAGATGTCGTCCATAATCAAGGCAAAAATGTAAAAGCTAAGAGCCGACCCCTGGTAGAGTTCGATTTCCACAGGGAATGCCTCGGTGTTGCCAACTGTAGTCCTGAAGTATGTAGTAGATCTACATTACATATCACGAATCATCCAGATATAAGCAGTTGGGATCCGTATCATTTCCAAGGTCTTCCAGATCGTATCGGGGAACGCTATCATACGCCTTCTCAAGGTCAATGAACGACATGTGAAGATCTCTATTTTTTCCCTATATTTCTCCATAAGTCGTCGAAGTAGATGAATCACCTCTGTAGTATATCTGCCTGGCATAAACCCAAATTGGTTTTTCGAAACCCTATTAACTTGTCTCAACCTAACCTCCATCACCCTTTCCCATAGCATTATGGTATGGCTGAGTAGTTTAATACCTCTGTAGTTGCCACAGGGGATCTCCTTTATTCTTATAGATTGGTATCACCATAGACTCTCTCCACTCCTCTGGCATCTTGGCAGTCTCTAAAATAATATTAAAGATGTTGGTCAACCACTTAACTCCCTCTTCTTCTAGGGCCAACCACACAGTGATAGAAATTTGAACTAGACAAACATCTTTGTCTCTCCCCATCTTTCTAAGAGCCATTTTGACTTCCTCAAACTCAATCCTACTTGTAGGGCAGTCATTGGCCGTAGTATGATGGTCGGCTGACCCATCAACGGTACTATCTCTACATGGAGAAGCACCATCATTAAATAAGGCAAAGAAGTAACTACCCCAAACCCTCTTAATATCATGATTTTTTACTAAAAGAACATCATTGTTGTCCTTAATAAACCTAATGCTACCTAGATTCTTTTTCCTATTCTCCCTGGATTTTGCTAGCCTGAAGATGTCGTTTTGTCCTTCCTTGGTGTCTAATCTCTTGTACATTTCTTTGTATGCCATATCCTTTGCTTTAGCCACCGTTTTCTTGGCTTCCCGCTTTGCCTCCTTGTATCTTTGTTAGCTCTCGATCTTTCTTCATCGTCATTACATTATAGATACTCCTTGAAGCAAGTTTGCTTAGTCTTCACCTTAGTTTGGACTTCGTCGTTCCACCACCACGATTCTTTATGCTCATTGACCTTCCATGGCGACACCCCAAGGGTGTTTTTCCCACCTCTCTGATGGAATTTGCCATATTTTTCCATAACATATTTGCATTATTTGGGTTTGTAGTTCCAAAACTTGTATTAGACAAAACCTTACTCCTAAAGTCATTAGCTGTCGCTCCATGTAAGTTATTCTAAAGGATCTTAGGTTTACCAAGTTTAGCCCTCCTATGAGTGTCCCGCCCGTGGCGTACGCGGAACACCAAAACCAACAATCTGTGTTGTGACGCACATGCCTCTTCAGGAAATACCTTACAGTCAATGCAAGCCCATCTATCCCGATTTCGAACCAGGATGTAGTCGATTTTGGTACAATGTCCCCCGCTATGGAACGTAATCAAGTTCACATCTCTTGTTAAAGAAGGAGTTAGTGACCACCATATCATGTGCAGTAGCAAATTCAAGCAACATAAGCCCCTCCTCGTTCCTACTACCAAAACCGAAACCCCCATGAACACTGTCATACCCGTCGGTTGCACTACCTATATGGCCATTGAAGTCTCCCCCTATGAAAACTCTTTGGTCCTCCGGAATGCTCCTAAGTACATCATCTAACTGATCCAGAAGCAACGTTTCCCCCTCCCCTAGGCCAACGTGTGGGGCGTACACTGAAAAGACATTCACCACTTCCGCTTCTATAATAACCTTAATCATCATGATCCTATCTCGGTATCTACAAACTTCAACTACATTTTCCTTGAGCCTAGAGGATACCAAGATACCCACCCATTTCTAGCGTTATCTATGCCTGAATACCACAACTTGTACCCATTACACTCTCTGGCGCAAGCCCCTTTCCACCTAGTCTCCTGAATACATGCAAAATCTATTTTCCTATTACTAAGTACGTCGAATACCTCCAGCAGCCTAGCATTTAATGTGCCTACATTCAACGAACAAACTCTAAGTCTAGTCTCCTTGACACCATTCTGTCGAGCCTTCCCCCTATACGCCCTATAGGATCTAAAAGAAGGACATGACCTCAAGTAATCATCTACAACCGAAGCTATGAGGAACTATGAAAAAGGAATCCAAAGAAGACAGAAGATGCACCAATAAAACGCTAGAGATTTAAGGGGTACTAAGAAGCCTAGTTGGTTACTTAATAGGATTTTAAGACAAATAAACATTATCTTACTTAACTTAAGGCCAACAGCTAGAAACTAATGATTGGATTTATATCTTACTTAAATATCGATAATGATATAATATACTAGGAGTCTAGGACAATGAAAAAATACAGATCCAGTAAATCCTACTCAAAGAAAAGTACAAAAAATATAGATCCAGTAGATCCTACTCAAAATAAAATTGTTTTTCAAGTAAATAACAAATTCTATGAAAGGAGAACAAAATTTCAGTTAAACCCCATAAATAATCAAAAAAGAAAATGAATAAACCTTGGAAGTGGGCAAGGAATAAAAGCTTACTGAGATTCAATCAATAAAACGAATGAGTAAGTGTAGTTGTGATCTAAGAACAAGATACTGTGGGTTATCTTACCTAAATGAAGAACACAAAACGAAGCAAGGAGAAAAGCGGGAAGAGAGAATTTAGATCTTAAAGAATCTTTCCATAAACAACAAAGCAAAAATATCCTGAAACTAATGCAGCATAAGAATTTATAATTAATATGATTACAAAATTAGTAATAGCAGGAAGTAACGAGTAATGATCAGATCCGGAATGAGAATGAGACGGAATCACGGAAAGGTTACTGGATTGAGATCGGAAACGACACTGTTGATTAACGATGTTGGCAGATCTGGAAAGAGAGTGAACGAGATGAGTAGATCTGGAAAGAGAGAAACCAAATATTTTATGTATTTTATATACAAATATTCATATTCATTTGAAATAAAAATAATTAAACAGATGTACATGTTCAAAAAATAAATAAACATATGTATTTATTGTTCGAGATAAGTATAATTGAAACAAAATCAAATTTGTGTGTGTGCAATTCAATCATAATCATAGTTTCATATGTATAATTACACAAAATTAAAATTCATCTATCATATTACATTAATAAATATCAAAATTACATATCAACTTTAATCAAATGTGTAATAATATCAAAGTATTTAACATGTACATTGAGTATTTAAAGAAATAATTCAACTACTTATTTCTAAGGGGAAAAAGAATATATATATATATTAAAAGAAGTTAGTTATAGTGTCTCAATAATTAATTTGAGGTATTTAAATTAAAAAAAAGTGATTTAGGTAAAGTATGGGTACAATATGTATATATAGAGAAAGAAAAAGATAGAGAGAAAGAAAAAGGTAAGAGAGAAAATAGGTAAGAAACTGCTTGCAGGCTCCTCTCTCTCTCTATATATATATATATTAGTCCTAAGGAAATCTAGTAATGAGAAAGAAAGAAGAAAATAAAAACAAAATTAAAATGTTTTGAACATCAAATCTCAATTTCAGTTACGACGTGGCCTTGAAGGTTTAGTTCTTCGATTCTCCCAACAGCATCTTTGAAAACTAATCTCTTCTCCTCATCTTCTTCACAGCAGCTCAATCCTATCTTCAACAGCTCTTGCATCAATGCCCCATCACTGTCTTTTATTGTTCCCATCTCTTTGTCGAACACCTCCGTTTGTTGATCACCAACTACGGTTTTCACCCAATTCGCCATATCCTCCTGTTCATCACTCTCTTTACCCTTCAAGTTTGCAGGGAACACTCCCGTTAGTATCTCTAATATCAATATTCCGAGGGCCCATACGTCGCTCTTTCTTGAGATTTTCCCTTGTTGCGCGTATTCCGGTGACTTGTAAGCCACCATTAGCTTCTTGGCACTTTCCTTGTTGATTATGGGGATCAGACCGTAATCTGTGAGGAGGGGTTCGAAGGATTCGTTAAGGAGAACATTTGAGGATTTGAGGTGACCATGGGGTACAATCAAACTAGGTAACTCCTTGTGCAGGTATGCCAGGCCCTTGGCTACTCCTTTCACAATCTTCAATCGAGTTGGCCAATCCAGCGCCGGCTGCCCCAAGGATTTGTGACCTGAAAAGGAAGCAATGAATTGTTCATTAATTCTCTTTCTATTCTTCCATGTTTTATGTAAGAGTGTAGACAAGGAAAAACAAATCAACCATGAAGATGAACCGACAAGCTTCCGTTTTTAACGAAGTCGGAGACAAGTAGCTTCTCCTCCTTCCTATAGTAATAGGCGACGAGAGGAAGCAAGTTTGCATGCGTGAGCCTCCCTATCCTCCTCATATGCTCAAGGAACTCTTCTTTCCCAGCGTTGTTCATCTGCTTATACCTCTTCACCACCACCACTGGCCCAACTGATAGAGCAGCCTTAAATGATGAACCAAACGATCCACTTCCCAATACCTCTGCCGACGCTTTTAGCAAGTCTGGCAAATCAAACTTCTGCCTATCATCCCTCACGAAAGTAAGTTTAACATTCGTCTCTTGGGCCTTCTTTCCATTCCTTGAGTTTCCTGCGGACCCTTGTTCTTCTTCCTTGTTGTACCCTTTTGCTCCCACTTTTGCTAGTGGAGCCTCCACTGATGATGGAGATGCTGTTTTCTTCCCTCTGGGTTGTTGCATCATCATCACTGCACATATGCCCACAACTATCAACACCCCAACTACAACAAGGATCACACTTAACCAGAATGGGGGCTTCTTCGAGCTGGAGCTGGACCCTGAGCTGGAGTTGGAAGCAGCAGGGGTCTCACACGCCTCCAATTGTCCTCCACAGACAGCCTTATTGCCTACAGCAACCACGGAACTATCTTTATATATTTGAGCTCGTATATTACATTAGCACAAAAAGATGGGGTAAAAAAACAAGCTACTTAATATCAGTAGTAATAAAATGTAAAATAAATGAATTATAGAATTCAAAAGTAACATATAGACAAAATAAATAAAAATACGTGAGTCACCTTCAAACATCTTTTTGTCAATCTTACTAAGGCTTGGTGGTATAGGACCCTCCAATTGATTACCCGAGAGATCCAGCATGTGCGGGGGGTGTTTAAAGTCGGGGATAGGACCGGAAAAGCGGTTACGGTCAAGTTTAAGCTCCGTAAGCTTGGGCAAGGAGGCCAAGGAGGCCGGAATTGGACCCGTAAACTGATTTTGTGAGAGATGCAACTTCTTCATCTGAATCAAACCATCAAAGGCATTGGGAGGAATTTCTCCAGAAAATTTGTTGTTGGATAAATAAGCGGATCTCAATTCAGGAAGTTTGTTCAACTGGGGCATGGGACCATCGAAATTATTGTTCATAACGCTGATGGTGGTGAATTCGGGCAGGGTTTTTAAAGAATCAATGTCAATGGTGCCGGAGAGTCCCATATTCTCGAGCTTAAGACCCCAAATGGCACCCTTATTGCAAAGAATGCCGACCCAGTTGGCAGTTTGGCCAGTGCATGGAGGATTAGGATTGTCGTCCCAGCTTTGCAAAGCGTCGGCGTTGCGTAAGGAGGATTTGAATTTGAGAAGGGATTCGGAGTCGGGAGATGCATATGCATATGCATGAGAACGAGAATGAAAAACAAAAAGCAAGGAGGAGAGGAGGAGGTGAAAGGGAATGAGCATAGACATGGCGTCAATGACGATGGGGGGGAACGCGCACCGCTGTGCGCGCCCTTCACCAGGGGAGCAGCAGGAACTAGGGTGCGAAATATTAGAGAATTGGATCCTCCCTTGGAGGGGGGAAAGAGAGAGAAGAGGAGATGGGATGCCCTACAATTATGGAACTCTTCCATTTTAACTTTCTAACAATAGCTTCACCCGTTTGGCATGCCTTCCTTCACTGCGTCTTCCTCCTCCACCACATTTTTATTCCTTCCTACATACATTTTTTCTTAATTATTAAAACAACCCTTCCTCTAACAAAATTACTATATTTTAACCTGATCTCTTCATTTTCAATGATTTTCTACGCTCATCCTTTTCTTCATTTTATTTTTAGAGTCAAATAGGGGATGTTTTGTTCTTTTAGGTGTTCTCCTAAGACTTCCCTTAATAAAGTCTGTTTTATGGTTGATAATCATGCTAATAGCTTCCCTCTTATTTGATATTTAGATTTGGCTATACAATTTTATTGGTACTTTTATTTTTCTATTTAGTATTTACATTTTATTTTTTTATATATTTAAATATTTGAATATACTAATAAAAAACTATTTGAATTTAATTTTTGTTACATATTTAAAAAATATATTGATAATAATAAATTCAAATTTAGGACTTAAAATATGCGATAAAAATCAAATCAAATCACTAATTTAAACACAAAGATATAGACACCAACCAGTAACTAAGTTTACATACCAATTTAAACGACACAAAAGTACAAATTTAAACCATTAACTTAAGGTAAGATATAAAATAGTAAAAAATATTAGGAAAACATAGGTGTTTGAAAATTTAATTTAGGGCCTAGGTTATTTATTAAAGTATTTTTGAAACTTGTTATGCGCTCGTGACAAGTTTCATAAAATATAATAAATAATTAAAACTCGTCATAGTTTAATGATGAGTTTCATACAATTTTCATCAAGTCCACATAAAAAATTATATTTTTTAATATGTTTTATGAAATTCGTTATAAGGACATGACAATACAAAATTGCAGCTAATGAGTCATAAACTTCGTCAATTGTGCAAGAATCATGACTATACAAAATTGCAACTCTAAAGGTAGTACAAAAAAGGCAACAACAAAGCAAATTGAACCTAAATCATCTTTATTATACTTAACCTTTACAGTCATGGAATTCAAAGAAGATTTCTTTTTCTTTATATGTATTCTACCAAAGATGTATCTTCTATCAAACAACGATAATAAAGACGTTACTTCAGATACAACTTACTAGTTAGGATTTTCAACGTGTACAATTACTCCAACTTTAACTTCAACACAACAACAATTTTCTTTTTCAACACGTCTAGTAAAACTAAATTTGACAGATACAAATGTAATTGCAATTGAGTCTTTAGATTCTTATGTTGCTTTTCCTCAAATGCATCTTATGTAACTCCAAGAGGACATTGTCCAAATTTATTTGTATTAGAATTGTCTACATTTTCACTTGCCGCAACAGGAGTATGATGTTGCAATTGAACAATGAAATTTTATAATTCAAAAACGCTTTTACCGTGAGCGAACTAAACTTGAATACGCTTTGATACCAATTTGTTATATCATACGAAGATGATGACAGTAGAAACAAACATAAAATAAATAGAGAAAGAAAAATAAGACATCAAGATTTTACATGAAAAAACTCTTAAAAAACCAAATGTAAAGGTTGAGAAATCACTAATATGAAGGGAAAAAATATACAAATACAAGACTGAGGCTGTGTGTTGCTTAATCGACTTAACTTCTAATCTCAAGTATTTATTTACAAAGATAATAATTTGATTATAAAAGAAAATTGCATAGATGAAATTACCCAAACTAAAATTTTCTACTTTTAGTCGATCTCTAATAGTAAAAGTATGATTCAAATAGAATTATCATAAAAGTCTAACATGAAGCAAAGACGTCTAAAGTTGTGGCCAGCAGGGCAAATGCTCCTCCACTAACATCATATACTATATATGAACCTCTCTCAAAGGAAACATAAGATGTAAAAATAATGAGAAAGGCAGAAGAAGATGAATGAATTAAGGTTTTGGGCCTTTTGGTTGAGATACATTTAAGCACGTTCTTTGAATAACAAAATATGTAAGAAAGCCTCATGTACCCCAAAATTCTATAAGGCCAACATCCATTGAGGAAGGGGTTTATTTCATGCCAAATAAAGATTTAATGGCATTGATGGCATTCTCATTGATAAATGATTCATCGAACCTTTTAAGCAAAGGCTCGAACTGCTCTGAATTTTTTAAATTGGCCAGGTCAGGATCTGTCCGGATTCTCTGTTAACACAAAATTAATTACCACTTCAGTTGAGATCAACTCTGTTAATAATAGGCATCTGGTTGCAAAGCAATTGATTGTCACCTTAAAGTCTTCAAATCCTGCCTCCAACGCATCTTCAAGTGCTGACAGTCCAGCTTGAATCTGTAAACAATTCCAATGCCTTGGATCACAAACTCAATCTCTAAACTTTTAATTATGTTGGAACAGAAAGGCTTTTGATGATGGTTCTATTTGAATAGCTAGCTACTTTAAATTCCAATCTCGCATGCCCACCTGGTTAAGCTTTGAATAACAGCAAGCAACATTGTAACTTGCTACGGCTGCTTCATCAGGATCTGGCTTTGATCCCAGAACAGACTCGAATTTCTCCAGAGCTTGCTCGTATTCTCCACTCCTTCCCCATACAAAGCAAAAAAGGATGGAAAATATGAGTTGGACAGAAACTAAGTGGGAAAAAAAGAGAGTAAAAGTATGTGAGATTACCTGTATAGTTGCAAACCTTCACGGAGATCCCTTTCTCTGCCTTGTTTTCTTCCCTTTTCCTTATATAGTTTTGCATCTGAGATTGCAGAGGCATGCGTTATAATACAGAAAAGTTTCTTAATATAGAGTTGAGATAGGACTCACTTGGATCTCCCTCACTCTGTTACTGATTACTCCTGAATTCCTCTCAGCTCTAATGATCTCCTTCTCTGTTAACTCACCTCCTTCGTCAACTTGCCCTGGTAAACGCTTAATATTCTTCAGATAGCCAAGAAAACTTACGCAAAGGATAATTAAGTATATAAACGTATATTCAGACTTCAACTATTATAAAGCCTGGGTGGCGGATGGAAATAATTACCGTATCTCTTCTGCATTTTCATAAGCAATGGACCAATCCTCTGGCGGATGGTGTACATTGTCCTCCCATATTCGGCAGCAGGCCATATTTCTGTTCCGAACACAGCACTGTATTCCCATCAAGAGTTCATAAGTCACCTTATAATTTTAATGGGAACTGGAAAATTAACCATATTTGATCCATGGAGAATGGAATCATCGCATAGACATGATTGACTGTGGCAATTAATCCAAGGCTAAGCACAGTTTGTTAGGCAAGGCAGCTGACTAGTACGTAGGATAACAAAGTAAGTAATCAATTGGAATAGTAAGAGGTAAAAAATGGAAGAAAAAAAGAAAACCTAGTGGCAAGGACTCTGTCCCCAACGGTGAAAACCCCAGCCTTGTCAGCTGCTCCACCGGGCAGAATAGCATCAATGTAAGTGCCACCGTCTCTGCCTTTCCTGAATTTGAGGCCATAAGGTTGCTCGATCTCCACTTCATACTCCTCCTCTTCCTGGTTTGTGGTTTGGGTTTGGGACTCACTCTCCGATGCTTTGACTACCAAAACACAGGGCTTTAGCTCCTTGGCCTTCCCACTGAACAAAGGCCAGCACTTGTTGCGGAATCGAACCCCAACATGCATGCTCGGGGAGAGGAGAGGTTGGATGGCTCTGGGTGATGGTGGGTATGAGTTAGAGCAGAGATGGGGATAAGTGGTGGGAACCAAAGCCATGGTTGATTCAAGCACCCACTAGATTTGTGCTGCTAATACCCTGATACTTTTGTACTTCTAACAAACGCCATGGTATTCCCATCACAGATATGATTGGTCAGAGACCAGCTGTGGATTGCGCTCCTTAATTTTCAACTGGACCAAATGGCAACACGTGTTCTTCAGTGGGGATTTTATTTTCAACTTCAGGAATTTCCATTATTATTATTATTCTAAGATTAAAAAAAGTATAGTATAATTAAAAGCCATACACATATGAAATTGTAATTTAAAAATAAATTAATCTCTTAACTGTAAAAATTCGAATCGAATGGTTTTTACCTTATCATATCTTACTATTACCATTAGGAATCGTTGGATAAGATCTTTTTAAGAAATTGAAATGTGATTCTAGTGTTTGACATTTAAAAATTTGTTTACTTTCCTTCTAATCTAACGTTTCCTTGGAAGTTACTTTTTCACCATCAATAGGAGTATAAAAAAAACTGAAATTTATATTTCTCTAATCAAGCTGTCGAATAAAAAATTCTCAATTCAGCTGAATTTTATGAATGAAATAGAATGTTGGAAGATCTCGTTAGAATACTAATATGCCTAAAAAAACACTTCGGGTGAATACTGCTTTGCCTACTAGAAACACAAACACGAGATGGATATTGAATTATAGAACGGAAAAGGATTTTACAACTTGGATTAAACTCAATCATTGAAATTCACAAGCAACTACCGGTGTGTTATCATATGATTTATCAAGTTGTTCGTAATTTAATAAGTAAATTTGTTACATATGCCCACAATTAGAATATAAAAGAAAGTTATAAATACTAATATCCAAACTTTTAATTAAGACTTGAATATAATATATGATATTTGACATAAAGGCCGACAGAAGTTAAAAAAAATCCACATTTAACTGGACCAAACCTATGTCTAAAGAACCAAAAATAAATTTTCAGCCCAAAAATGAAAGAATAATCAAAAGGCCCCTTCATACATGTATAGTTGTATGACTAAGTTCCTCTTATATATCATATGAAGTCTAAGGAAAGACAACCTAATATAAGGCTAAGAAAATACAACCTAATATAAGACTAAGAAAATACGTTATCGAAAATATTAATATTTTTTTAACATTTCAAGTAAAGTACTACCTAAAATGTTATAATTTTTCTACCGGAAATGCTAATATCAGAAATATTCATTTTAGGTAACGAAATTAACATTTCCTGTTGAAAAAAATAACATTTTAAGTAACGTTCTACCGAAAATGTTAAAAAAATATTAACATTTTTGATAACGTCTTTCTTTAACCTTATATTAGACTGGCCTACACCAGAAGTACCCCATATCTTATACAAATAAAATGTCATATGACTTTAAATTTAGTCCAGCATACCACCCAGCAAACATGAACAAAATAGTCAGAGAGATATTCGATACGGTCCGAGTCTCACTGATCATAATTGCTATTTCTTGACAGACTGGCCTTTTCTACCTTGCTAACATGCTTGCTTAGGTACATCTGTTCTGGTGGGGTTCTCCTAGCCTGCTTAGCAGGCCGATTAGGTGAATAAGAAACAGAGGCCTCAGCAGTAGGAGGTGGAAGCGCTAGGTGTCCCTGCTCCACTTCTGTATCATCTGGACCAGCCCAAACTAGCAGATTCACTGTAGAGAAGAAAACAAAATACTTTTATCAGCCAAAAGCATAACTCGCAGGAGAATGCAGAAAAAGATTCCCCATCCTTATATCTGTCTCAAATTATTATAAGTGGTACAGAATCAACACACTGGTGAATGTCTTAAAATACAGATATAGGGAACAGAAGACAATCTCATTTACCATCTCCTTATCAATTATTTCAATTCAAACTTGCAGCCATGTTTATCAATTCTGGTAGAAAAAGGAGTACATGAAAAATAGAATCCAAGACATATAAGGAAACTAAGTCATCCAATGGAGAGTCCAGAAAAGAAAGCATGAAATGCAAATCATGAAGTATGGTACAATCATCCAAACAAAAAGCACTGAAGAGCAAACATAAGATTTCTATTAAACAAACATATTGTAGAAGAACCATCTTCGAAATATAAATGGGGAAAGCCGGGGTTACAGAATCAACCAAAACCATTCCATATCCTGTTACAGAGAATATGAACCATCTTCGAAATATAAATGGGGAAGGCCGGGTTACAGAATCAACCAAAACCATATCCTGTTACAGAGAATATGAAGTGGAATAGTATTCATGATTTTATGAAAAAAGTCCCACCAGATAAAAGTGATGATCCGGTCTATGTAAACAGATGATCAAGTGAAAAACGTTTCCAAGCTGTGCTTCTTCTAAATGGGTTGCAAACAGAATTTTGCTTGCTGTTACTTATTTAAACCAAGGAAGGGAAATAGAGATAGCAGAAATCTTGTGTGAAATTAGAGATACAAGCAATCAAGGAGAAACGAAGGAAATCTAGGGGGGGAAAAGAAAACAATGGAATCAATAAATCCCTAAATAATACAAAATAACCCAAAAATAGAATATAGTCCTAGATAACTCAATCTCTCAAACAATCATTCACAAATAATCCTTTTGTCAGTCCGTAAAGAGAGCATATTTGTGCCTTCATCGTACCTTCATTACCATGTGAGGCTGTCTGACGGGCAGGGCGCTTTCTCACATAGTCTTCCTGTAAAGGCTTGGGGATCTGAAATGAAAATCGAGACAAGTTTACTCCTGTTGCATACTCGGGATGTTCAATCAAGTACCTGTAAATCAGGAAACAGTGTTAACAGAATTATCAACAGAAAATTCAGGGCCTGGGAGAGGCATGAGCAGGGTTTTAAAAAACGGTCCGTGACCGCGATTTCTGCCTCGATATAGCGGTTTCGCCGCCGTCCGAGTTACCCGCGACGGCCGCAATCACAGTAAATCCGAAATAACCAAAAACGCGACCGCGATTTGAAACCCTGGGCATGAATAGTATGTATGGTCACTGCGGACTACTTATCCAGTGGACAATGGTACCCAATGGGAGAAAACTAATTTAAAAAAAATCAAAAGCCCAAGTAAACATTATGTACTTCTGCACCTCCACCATTGACCGCAGTCTCTTTCCTGTTGGTGCTTGATAGTAGCTAAAATAAAATAAAAAAAAAAGAATAAATTACAACTGCACCATTCTAAAATCAAGTTTAGATTCACTGCTTACTCTTCGAAAAAAAGCATACATATTGATCATGTCATGAGTTGTAACCAGAGTAACAATTAGGTTACATTAACCAAGACCTAAACATCACCATAACCCTTACCTCTTGATTGAAGAAACAAACGGTAATACTTGAAAAAATAATGAAAAAAAAAGAAATAAAGATATGGTTTAAGAGAAAATAAGTGTTGAAGCTGATTTAATTCTGCTTATGATAATGTGAGAAACCTAAGCAATCAAATATTAATCGGTTGAAATAAAGCCCATAATAGTGTAGGAATGCTCTGAGGAGGCTAAAAACACATTTGCATGCAGATAATGAAGATATTAATATACCAAAAAAATAGAATAACAACAGGAGAAAAAGAGACAAAAATGAATCATAGATGAAAAGTTAAAGATTGCCTCAATATAGAGGTGCACCTACATGTCTGCAAATTTGGTACTTCCTTCACCTCTAATTCGTAGAAGCCTTTGCCAGCCTGGAGGAGGTTGAGCGATGTTTGGTTTATCAATTGCCCAAAGCCGGCTACCATCTTGAGAGATATCCGTTGGATCATCACACGAGATATCAGGCCGCCATTCACGAGCTGTCACACAAACAAAGGGATTTTCTAAAATATGTTCTCGTATTTCTTCATACTTCTCCTTTGTTGGTATAAGCCTCCATTTAAAACAACGGTCACACTGGACAGTGAAAGCCCCAACAGACGGCAATAGTCTAGATGAAGAAAACCTTGGACCTGCAGAAGGTCGGCACTGGATAGGTCCAGGAGGCGTGCAACCAACACTACTACAGACAGCAGGAGCATAGAGCACTAACTGTTTAGAAGCATCCCCATTATATAGATCATCTTCATTTTGTGTCACCTGAGGGTCATCGTCTTCAGATGATGAAGCAGAAGAAGCAGCATCTGGGAAAGTATTATCCATGTGACTTGTAAAACTTGACCCAACCAAGTCGGTAGCTTCCCTTTTCAACATAACAAAAGCTTTTTCAGGAGTTGACTGCATTTGAATATCTCCAAAGCCTATTATAGGAATATAATACATTACTGAGCTAATCAAATGTTGAAAACATCATTAACTTCTACTAGCAATAAATTTATATGAGGAAGAAAAAAATATTTCACTAAACCTGCTTCTATTACAAGCTTGCGCATTTAATAAAAATATATCCAAAACCTTTTCTTTGCTTTAACAGATATGCTGAAGTAAACAGTGCTTGTTTAGCTCAATAGATTCAAAACCAGCTAGCACAATGTTCTTTTTTGTTGCTTTGACACTTACGATCTAGAGTAATTTGCATTTTAACTTATTGCTGAGTCTAGCTTTTGCTTAAACAGAAAACTTGTAAAGATAATATTGAATTGTATAGGAAGAAAATACTTTCGCTTAATGCTGAGACTTACCACAACAATAGCAAAAATAAATGACTTTCCAGTAAGCAAAAGTCTACGTCTACTTCATTTCAACTTTTGAATCAGGCTACTTCAGAGAGAGGGTAAACTAAGATTTCATTCTCTTTTCAAAAAACAATACAATTTTTTTTAATATAAGTCAATCTATGTCAAGTATCTTTTTTTGCGGGGAAGTGAATCCTCAATACGGCAAGAGAAAAAGTACTACATTTCTTCCTTCACTTATGTTCTCCTGTTATACACATTTTAAAACTTAAAGAAAAAGATATGTTTGCAGCCTAAAATAGTAGCAACTAAAACAACAGCTACAAAAAACAATGATTTTTCCGTAGTATAGACTACCCAATATATTAATGGTATTGATGTGTCATGCTCTATGAAGACTGTCATCAAAAAGGTTCTATTTTATAGTCTCCAACATATACTCTCTTTAATCCAAAAAAAAAACATACACTCTCTTGAAACAACTCTTCTTCATTAAATCATGCCTGTCTAGAAAAAGGAAAATTCTTTCAAACATTATTTATCCCAGTTTTTAACTTCAGAGAAAGAAAAATTCATCCATCATTGATAAGAATCAACACTAGAATGCAATTCAAAACCTACTTCACATAAGAATAATAGTGTCTTAAAAAATATTAGGTTAATCATGTAATATATATTCACATTTCAGAGTTACTGACATCATAAACTTCCACTGACCTTGTGAAGCAAAACACAGATTATGTATCAGTTGAGGCAATAATATGAGGTTTTGGAAGCCAGGCACACACAACCTAGCTATTCTGCCATCGGCATAGTTTTCCCATTGTAATATTGCTCAATTCAAGAAACCTACTACATTATTTGAAGAAACAAGAAATTGGAATTTAAATCCAAGATAAAAAGATGCAAAAGTAAATAAATAAATAAAAACGATACTTTACGAAACGAATCGAGCTGGAAAATGAAGAAAAAAATTAGAAAAAATAATATTAAAAATCCAATAGTCCATCAGGTTATCTTTTTTAATAACTTCAATCAGGTTAACGAGGAAACAGCTACAGAAGATTTCAGCACATATTTCCTTACTAGTATCAGGATGCAAGATCTAGAACAACGTTTGAAATAACAAATTTCAACAACAGAAATCAAAACCCATAATAAAATCAAACCTTGAAATTACTATAAAAAAAAACAAATGCCTGAGTTCAGACGTCATTCGACGCCATTCCTCCAAGAACAAAGTAAAAAAATAAAAGAAAATACATCATACTTCTCTCGCTCTCATGAAAACATCAAAGGCTAATTTTGTTGATGCATTATGACAAACAAATAGCACGACCGATCCGATCAACGAAAATACGATATATCCAGAAGAAGCCGAAAGTTTTAGGGATAAATTAAGTGCTTTTTAAAAACCTAAATGTCAAAATGATTTCGTTTTGCATTTAAACGATTTCAATATTTACTCGCTTAAGTTAAAATTTTTATTTTCATTCTCCTAAATAAGAGCTGTTAAAAAGATTATTCAAATATCAAAACGATTTTGTTTTACATTTAAACGATAAACAGTTTGTAATTGATTTAATTTAGATTTATGATATTATAATTTTTTTTCTTTTTCTGATTCTTGAAACGTTACGTTTCATTGAGGTAATAAACAAAATTAATATTAAAAATTAAATTAGATTAGATTAAATGATATTTTGAATTTTAAAATTATATTTTATTATTGTTTTATATTTAAAAGTTTATTTATTAAGAGTAGTTTCTTGAATTTCAATTATTATACGTTTTACTTAAATTTATTTATTTATTATTTTAAAAAATCATATGATATTAATAATGAGTTACATGAGATAAAATATATATTAAATTTTATATATAAAAAATAAAAATATTTATTTTATGATCTTTTACCTCTTTTTGAATTTCTTTTTCTAATTTTAATTTTCTTTTCAAAAAAAACTTGAATATTTTTTATAATTTTTTAACTAACATTTTTTTAAGTTTTAGAAATTTAATATATATATATATATATATATTATGCATGTCATAAATCATGAAATTTTAAATATATATATATATATATGGGAAAATTGATCATTTTAAAAAACATATATTCTTTTTTTAAAATTGAAATTTATTATTTTTATATTTTTTTACAAACAATAGAAGAAGAAAAAACTTTAAATATTTTTAAAAATGAGGATTATGGATTTTTTAAAGAATTTTACTCTTTATAAGTAGGGAAGTGTATTTTTGGATAACAAATATTATCCGATCCAAAAATTTAGATCATTGAAATTTTGATTTGTATCAAATCTGATTTTGGACATTTTTTATTGAAATTTGAGTTCAAAAGGGACGAGATGGGTTATATAACGATAAAATCGGGATTAAGACGAGATCATGTTTAAAGTGAAAAATCATCAACCGACCTGATATAATTTATTAAATTATCCTTTTACATATATAATCTCTTCAAGATTTTAAGGATTTTTTTCCCTTTTTTAAATTGAGGAGCGAGGTCAAATGTCAATAGATCAATTTCTTATGTGTTTATAAGGATTTTTTTATAGTGTTAGAATATGATTCTTTGATGGTTAACATTATAATAAAATATTATAAGAAATATTATATTAATTATTTAAAATATACAAATGATTAATAATATGTTTTGAAGTATAACATAAAAATCAGGACGAAATCAAGGTGGGAGAAAGGCTAGCAATCTTCGACATGGGTAAAGTCGGGTTGAAACAATACATTTTCAGGTTGGGGTCGGGCGGTAAAAAAAAACATGCTCACCCAGCCCCGTGCTCATTATTATACACAATATTATATATTAAATATGAAAATAAATACAAATATTTAATTATTTGAAATTTAGACATTGTTTGGTATGTTAATTATATTGATATATTAAATATAAATGTTTTTTAAAAAAGATAGTTAGTATGAAAGATTTTAAAATATACATTATCTTATAATCATATTAAATTATTTGAAAATTTTATTACAAATATATATTACGATGAAAATTTTATAAAATTTATTTCTAAATAGTTTTATATTTTTTTACGAAAGAATGAAGATACTCTTAATGTTAATTACATAAGTACAAAAAATAAAATAAAATAAAGCAAACAATATATTATAATATTAATTTTGTTATTTTATCAACTCTGTGGCAAGTCTCCCACAGATGTGATCATAAATCATGGTACGGTGATTGCTGAAGCAAAATCCCCCAATTTTGTCTCACTGGTATTCCGTTCCTCCTCTCTTCAAGTGGGCTGACCAGTGGAGCCCCAATTACTAACCTGAGGTCAGGCCACAGATATAATTGAGTTATTCTTTCTAAGTAAGTTGAATTTATTGAGTGATTTCACTGATAAAATAAAATATTATTTCTTTTAAAATATCTAAATTTAAATAGATATATTTATAGAGTGCATATATGTTATCATAAGTTTAAAAAAATTATAATTGATATTATGTTATAATTTACTATAGACTACTAAAATTGTCCTTTTGAGTCAGGTTAAAAATTCATAGAATCCCCTAAAAAAACCATCCCTAACAAGGATTGCTCAAACATCACTGTTGGACTTTCATAGTTTTTAAAGATGTTTCCATTTTTTTTATAGTTCTTTTATCGTATTTTTGTGGTAGTTTTCAATTTTGTTTTTTTTTATTGTTGAAACAATATTAGATATGTTAAATGAAACTGAAATTTATCAAAGTTTAGTGTGTACTTTCGCTTGAATGAATCTGAAATATGATAATTTTAGATTATATATATACATAGATAGATTAAGGGAATAGTTTTTATATATATAAAAAAAATTCATTAAGAGACACATCCACTAAAATTAAGTGTATAACAAAGATCTGTCCGGATTAATAAGACAAAGGATTAAGAACTTAAATGACAACCAAATAATAATAATAAAAAAATTACCACCAATGATAGCTATTAACGGCGTTTGCTTGATTGCTTCAGATAGAGCAGTAAAAAAAATTCAACAGTTATCATTTATTAAGTTATACTTTTAAATAAGTTTTCGGCGATCTGTATTATAAGATTTCAAATTGTTTTAAATGAAATATTTTAGATGATTAAAATTTTTAAATCATGTTTGAGAAAATGTCGTGCGATGTGATCAAGAAGGTTCACATGCTCTGAGCTTTTAAATATGTGTCCCCAAGATCCCATAAATGACCGATTAACATGCAATGAATTATAAGCTGTTCTTTTCTTACAACCCTTCCTTGGATTTAAAAAAGAAACTCAAGTTTCGAGTAATCCTTGCATCCTTTTGTAGTCAAACCCATACCTAAATTCATTTATTTATTATTTAAAGACTTGCTCTTAAACTTTCAATTAAAAATCAAACGTACAACATGAAGTTTACACAATGTAAAAGGGATACATTCTTTCAAATGTAGTGATCAGATTCAGCTGGTTACTTAATTTTACGTCTTTTATATTAATGCTCGCACCTCTTGATTTGTGCATTAATGTTGTAACATTATGTATTAAGATTTGTATCACATGAATTATTGAAACTTATATATATATATATATGACACTTTAAAGATATAAGAAGTTGCATGAATATGTTATAAAAATGGCTAATAGCTTGCATTAACTTGAAAACTAAGCTTGAATTATAAGCAGTGTGAGTGTAATATGAACTCTCTAACGGGTCAAGTAGAAGAAAAGTCAAGAAAGAAAATAGTAAATTAAACTCATGTGATCGGAACGCATCTCTAGAAGACTAAATTAATAGAAAAGTCACATGCAATTCATTATACAATTGCTGTATTTGTTGTTCACTGAATCCGATGGCATATTTTTCAGTCCAGTTGTCCATCCAAGCAATCCGATTGTGTTTTTCATTTGCTTTCCTTGCTGTTTGTTTCCCCAGAAATTACAGTCCCAGAAGCACATAATAGAGTATTGTAATGGGCAGAGCAATCAGCATTCCGAAAATAACCCTGCAAAACATTTTTGTACCGACTCGGTATTAGTTTCACTATTACTATATTAACCGAGTAAAATCAACAGAAGAAAATAAAAGTTTGTAATTATTTTAGAACAGATCATTCCATGAATTAAAGGGCAAGTTAGTATAAGAAATAAGGGATATGAACAAAACTTACGCAGTGCTAAGGATGTCGGGATGAACGTTATACTCCTTGGCAAACACAAATGGAACTATTCCTTGTGGAAGAGCGGCCTTCAATAAGTATAACCATAACATTAGTGGAGAGTAATTCTCAAACTAGAACTAGAAGTAGAAAGTTTATGAATGAATATTACCTGAACGATTGCGACATGCAAAAGAACGCCACGAAGACCAATGGCGATGGAGGTTGCAGCAATGACTGCGGGACCAGTCAAGAACCTGACAGCCATGGAAAATGTTGCTACTGATTTTCCGCAAGCTATGATCTTTGGTTGTAGTGCCATGAATAAGCCTGTTTTTCATTTCAATATCAATCAAACAAAATGTTGTTGTTTCCATATGTACATGTAGGTAGTGAGTGAAATACCTAGACTAAACATTGCCATTCCTAGACCAGCATCGGATAATATTGCTATCGACCCACTTACAATTGTTGGCATTTGAATGTTCCACCTGCACATCATTTAAATACCAAATCAAAACCACTTGCCTTGTCAATGCAATTCCACTTAAGCAAGTAGAGTAGTGATGGACCTGAAAGATACGAGGGACCAAATCAAGCCTATAAGACTGGAATATGTGTTAGGGTTCCTTATCAGCTTCCTCCAAACCATGATAAGAATAAGCCTTGTCATCACACTTGCAGGAGGCATTTGCTGCTTCTTTGCCACATCGACTTCTTCCTTTTTCTGACAACTCAAGGGAGAGGATCCCTCCTCCAATATCTCCACATCCTTGTCCCCATCACCGGTCTTGCCGGCCGTGTTCATATTTTCAATTAGCTCTTGCATTGCTGTACGAAATCAATATGTATGGACGAAGATGAGAGATATATATTTTACAGGTTGAACTGATGTTTGAACAGTATTATACTACCTCTTGAAGCAGCGTTTTCTTGTTGATGGGTTGCTTTAGAAGATTCAAAGTCTGTAGAGGCTGCTCTATTTACTGCATGCCTCAGATTCCCTTCAGATACAGGAGAAGCACTGGAGCTCCAAACAAACATGTGAAGCTCCTTGTTCGGCATCGCTCCACTTTCCTTCTTCTTTGACCCACCGCTGGTAGACCCTGAAAATATGGGATTCGGCGGTGGATAGCCGTTATACAACTCGCCGCTCATGCTCCTTCCTCCTCTTCTCTTGGCAAGCTTCAGCATCTCCTCGTCGAAGTTTGAAGTTCTTGGTGTCGCTCCTTTTGAAGATTGCAGCGAATAAACATCGCCAATTGCCCCCTGGGCCTGGAAGCTATTTGTGTATCCATGCTTGGGACTCGGAGCCTTGCTTGCAAACATGGCATAGAAATCATTTTGGTTAAAGCTTGAAGCCCTGGGAGTGGGTTCTCTGGATGACTGAACGGAGTAGATTTCGACCCCGGTCAGGTTTGATGCTCTGGGCGTCATGGAGGTTAATGAATTCAATCCATGTGATTTGTTGAACGACGACACCATCGATGTCGCGCTTGATCTTCTCACCACAACATGGAGTTTACCATCATCACCGATCTCAGCGTCAGCTTGTAAAGGCTCGCGGCCGTTAAGTGAAACAACATCCGACTCTACTCGGAAAGAGGTAATGGATCCAGCAGTCTCGGGGAATTGGTCGTTGATGAGAAGCTTTGCTCCCCTATATTCAAACATGAAGAGCATGAGAGTGTACCAAATTACACTCTGTAAAACTACAATTTGAACCATAAGGTTCCCCGAGAAATCCCCGTACATGGCTTTTAGAAGGGGGATCCCCATGACAAGAGTGTTGGGGAGAGTGGATAGAGAGAAGAGAGTAATCATCCACTCCAGGCTGCCGTGTTTGGAAAAGGCTTGCCATAGGAAAAGGGCAGCAAGAATAACCACCTTCTGGAGAGAATCAGCAGCTATGAAGCGGTAGTTCATGGCATAGGGATCGTTTGAGGAGATGAAATGAAATGAAAGTAGTGGAACTGCAAAAACTGCAACGAAACGGTTGATGCCGGAACATTGATCTGGGGTAAAAATTTTCCACCACTTCACCGACCCATATGCCAGTATCATAGCAACATACAGGGGCACAATAGCTGCAAGAACATCGTAGATATCCTTTCCGGTGATCATGGTTAACGACTTATGTCTAGTGATTGATCTCAGAGGAGAGGTCTAGAACAACAAGGAAATAAGCATAACTAAAGAAGATTGAAAGAAACAAATCAAGAGGAGAGGAAGTACAAAATGCCGTGTTATCCTGCTTTATACTTGAAAATACATTTATTTAATTTTGAAAATTCAGTCGCCTTAAGACATCAAGAATCCTTCCTGTCTAAGTAGGTGGTAAAAAATTGAAAATGAAAAATAAAAAACATGGGATGTTTGGGTTAAGCTAAACACTAGTGCAATATAAATATTGCATGTAAAGCTTAGATATCGGCAGAGCAGTCGTTTATGCACATGAGCCAGACAACGTTTAGCGATCTGCGGTAGTAGTAAAGATCTGTCTGCATGCGGTATATAATTAATATATTGAGGTTTCCGGAACTCGAGCTTTCTTTTCTTTATGCAAATCAAACCCATGTAAGCACTGATGTAAGCAATTTGCTAACCCAAATCCATCAATTTTGAGTCCACATATTAATTCTTACAGATATCATGTCCGCCAAGACCCATTTCTTGACTTGTAAACTTGGGCAACCAAGCATGACCCACTTCTCCGTTGGGCTTTATTTAAAAACCGGCTAGTTTCTTCTCTTTGTTCCAACCACATGCAGTAGCGGTGAAACTCACCTCTATTTAACGGAGAAACAGTTTCAAAAGTTTAAATTTATTGTGGATTATTTTAAAAATAAATAAATTCAATAGAGATCAAATAATATTTTATTTGTTTAATTTTAAAATAATAATTTTTAACTTGTTTGATTTTTAAATTTTATAAAATGATAAAAGTATAAAATCACCATCAAAATAATATTTAGTGTAGTTTTAAATAAAAATAATTTATTAATCTTCTATTAAATTGATGTATTGAACTTAATTATGCTTGCAATCCTATTGAGTGCTCAAAGTTACGAGGATTAGGAGTGGTGTTGGATACATTTATTTTTGATTTTGCGATTTTTCTCTCTCTTATTATTGAGCATTTGTTGTGACCCTGAGTTGGGAAGAACCTTTGCACTGTTTTCAGCTTTAGGAATATTAAGTTTATGCACTCTTTTACTTTGTTACGTTGTATTGATTAAACTTTAATCAAATTAAGAAAAATATTTAATGAACCGACGTTAATCCAAAGAATTCGTGACCTTCTTCAACATAGTTGGATAATAGAAATCTCCTTCATTTATCAGGAAGCTAATGACGTTGCTGATGCGTATATCCGGGGCGGTCGCATGAGGCCAGCGAGTCTGTTTGAGTTACAAACCCCGTCTGCTGATGTTCAAATGCTTCTCCAGCTAGATAAGCAGGCTTGGAGAAGAACCCCTAGCAACTGTTAATGCAGTAGCTCTCCTTCTTGGCTAAACTCTCGAGATAACGTTCTTGAATAAATTAATTCACGAGATAATGCACTCCTCAGATTAATTGCTCAAACAGGGTGAAATCTACATTGTTGGTCGTAGGTCGCCATGCCATCCGGGCGACCTACTAGGTCGCCATGTCTTCCCGGCGAGCTATGAGAGAGATTGCATGTGTCATGCACGTTCCAACACGTTGGGCATCCGAAGCCATCCGACCGAGGGCATCCGACCGAGTGCATCCGACCGAGGCCATTCGAGCGAGCTATGCGAGGGCATCCGAGGGCAAGAGGAATCACGCGAGGAGCAGGAGGAGTGCATGGCGACCTACAAGGTCGCCAGGAGTGCATGGCGACCTACAAGGTCGCCCGGAGTGCATGGCGACCTATGCTGGGAAGCTGCCACGCCGTAGGTCGCCCGGAAGGCATGGCGACCTACGGCCAACACTGTGCAATTCGCCCTATTTGAACAATTAATCTTGGGAGTACGTTATATCGTTAAATAAAAAATTCGAGAACATTATCTCGAAAATTTTGCCCTCCTTCTTTGTAACAGAAATAATAATAATAATAATAATAATACAATAAATACATATATGTCAACATTATCCTTTTAACTTAATTAATTTCAGGATCTGATTCATTTTATTAGTGTTGTTATTTTTTCATTTCCATCCTTCCTCTATTAAAAATACCTTTATAAAATCAGTACATTTGACCAGTGATTAAAATGTTCATCTTACCCTTTTTCTTTAGGTAAAACTAAAATTAAATTTAAAATTTATTAAAAAAATATCTTTGTCCTTTTCTATAAAGAAGATTTTAATTTATTTTTAAAAAAAAAAACTTTCACTACATATTTTTAATATTCAAATGTTTTATGAGTTAAAATTTAAATCAATTTAAATATAAAATATATAAATTTAAATACTAACATTAAAGCATGTGTTAACATTGTATAGTTTTTTATGACTTAATTGCATTATATGTCCTTAAAGTATGATCCTTATTTTAAATTAATTCTTAAAATTTTAAATGTTCTAGTTTCGTCCCAAAATTATGATTTTCTTTCTAAATTGGTCCCTAAATTTTTGAAAATTTCAATTTCATCCCCAAATATCACCTTCATTCTCAAATTAGTCCTCAAAATTTTTTAACATTCCAATTTCATCTCAAACTATACGTATATACTAATCGCATCTCTTATTAATAAAATCATTAGACCAAGTTATATTATTACATGTTTGAAAGAAAAAAAAACAAACAAACTTTAGGTTAAACTATGATTGAAACTATTTACATATTTGGATTAATTTGAGGATGAAATTATAATATTCAAAAGTTTGGGGATCAATTTTGAAATAAGATCATAGTTTAGAGATGAAATTAGAATGTTCAAAAGTTTAAGGACTAATGTATAATGAGAGTCGTAATTTGAGAATAAAATTGAAATATTCAAAGTTTAAGGACCAATTTAAAATGATAGTTATAGTTTATAGTCAATTAACTCATTTTTATTAATTATTGATATTTGATTTATTGATCAATTATTCTAGATCAAATATTAGAGAAATTCATTATAAGAAAAATATTTCTAATTTAATTTACTCTATTCACATTATGAAAAATTAAATCTCTAATGTCACTTAAGAAATTTAATGTGCCACTCATTAAATCAATTGATTGTGTAAATAATATGATATAATTTATTTATTGATGTATAATTTATACACCGATAATATAATATATATATAAATCTTTATTTTAATAATAATTTTTTAATAGTATGATGTGATTATAACATAATATTTGTTCAAAAAAAAATTAACCGTTGATAACACACATACACCATACAAATGTAATTGTTTAAACTCGAAATCTGTAAAAATAACAATACTCCATTCAACTATTAAGGTTGTTTGATGAGTTCAATAACAATTCGTTTATCCTAAATAACATTTTAATAATTAATTTGTCCAAAGAAATTAAAAAATTACTGAGTTTGAAAATAACATAACTTGAGAAGTAGACACATATTTACCTCTCTGGTAGTGCCGAAGGATTGTATTTAAATAAAAAAAATAGACTTAATATAAAAAATAGGTGTTAAAATTATTGTTAAAGTTAATTTTAGGTGTAAAAATATTTTTTTTTTAAATAAGTGAACATTTTTCTTGTTACACTTTTAGGTGTTTAATATTTCTGAAGTTATATTCTTGGGTGTCTGAACAATAACGGTTACTAAATTCGATCATTAGTGACACGTGTCAATTTTATAAAATTTTATAAAATTTAAAAAAATTTATTTAAAAAACTCATTTTTTCTGAAATTATAAAAAACCCCCCAAACTTCCTTAAAAATCTAATTTCAATCCCTTTTGCCATTGTTTATCGTCGCCAACCAGTCGAAATTCTAACGGTGTGAGACCGACCAGACATTCAATGATCGAAATCCTTGCTTCAACCTCTAATTATAGTGACCAATTGCAGCGTGGATCTCGAAATCTTGTTTTACAAGTTCATTGGGTGTTTGGCCGTAACAAAAATAATAGATATTAAAAGAACAAAATAGTAATTTTGAGAAATAAACAAAATGAAAAAAAATATTAAATATAAAGTTGGTCCATTAGGAGATACGTCTTATCCAATAGTGGGGACTGGGAAAGGGGGGAAGTGGTTAAGCAATAATTTCAGGCAATTTATGTTGCTATTTTCCTTTGAATTTTGGGTTCAACAGCAAATCAATCAAATTCCTAAGGAATGAAAGTTTTGAATGCTCAAGGCACATTTTGTTTGAACACCATCTACTTAACAATTAAAAAGAAAGGCTTTCTGTAGCGTAATAATCTCAGAAAACAAAAAAGTGTAGTCTAACAAGTTAAAATAGGAAGAGAAGTGAGTGGGGAAATGCAAGCAGAGAAGAAAATGGAATCTCAGATCTGTGACGAAGGCAACAGTAAAGAAAGCAAAGTAAAGATGCAAATGAGCTAGTAATATAAGACCAAACGTGTAGAACATAAGGTGCAGCGATATCTTCTCTTAATGGTGAAGCAAATGGGCAAGAAACAGCAGCATCTCCACCGCCTTTCTACATCCACCGCTTCCACTTTGCCCCCGCACTTGGGACAACACCCAGCCGCTTCCCGTCTTCCCAATTCTCTCTCTTCTTCATCACACATTATTCTCTCTGCCTTTTTGATCTCTAAACCAAGCCTCAATGCACACCTCTTCTCTTTTAATTTTCTCAGAATCGGTCTTTATAACCCCCCCCCCCACCTGGGACTTATACAATACACCTTTTTCATCTTTCTTTTTTGCTTTTTAATCACCCTTTTATTATTACATTTACAATACCAAAAATATATCTTTTTAATATACGAAAAGAAGGAAAAACATTTCTGGTTACATTTTAATTGTAAAATAAATAATAGAGACATGAACTTTCTTATCATTATTCCTTTTTTATTTTACATTTGTCTATTTGATTTTGAAGTGATAAAAAAATATAGTTGTTTTCTTCTTCATTTCATGCATATCACGTGAAGAGAGATTGCCCTTCTCAACATTTTTCTTTTTACTACCTATCTTTTTGCTGTTTTAGTGTCAATAATTCATGGTCCCCTTAATTAATACATATAAACGTTACTTAAGAATATAAAACAATAAATGTTAATTAAGATTATTCAATAAAGGGAGTGTTGTTTTGCAATAATTGTAAGCCACGCTGTCTATACATTTGTTATTTTTATTGAATTCAAAATTTATTATAATTTTCACATAGTATTTGGATATTATCAAAATTTTCAAATATGTATTTTATACAATTATGATGTATTTTGGACTTTTTTTAAATGAAATATATATTATTAAATATGCTTCGAACTTGATATCTCATAAAATGATGTCTAGAAGATTGCTAAGAAATATAGCTCAATTACATAAATAAAAATATATTTAAAATCTGGAGTTGTAAATATTAAATATCTAAAAAAAATTCAATATCAAATAAATAAAAAAGTAGAAAAATATTTTAAAATTATTGTAAAGCTAAATTATTAAATTTAATTTAGTGACCCTTTTTAATTTTTAAAGTAATTATAGAAAAATAAAAATGATAACTCTCAATCAGCTGATAACGAATGTTCACACCCATGATATTCACGATGCTCGAACCCATGATCTTAAAAAATTATATAAATTCATTTACCATCGAGATCACTTGATTCGTACGTAGTTATATGTATTCTAACGTAGACTTACTATGTAATTTGAAGTATAAATATTGTATGAATATGGTGTGAGGAGTTGAAAACATTGGGCAAGGCAAGGGAAGAAACGTGTGAGGCAACAACATAAGTTGTCTTGTTCTTCAACAAACGCCAAAGTCTGTTACGTTTCAATTTCAACATTTTTGTTTTTGTCTATTTATTTTATGTACCACTACCACTCGATATTTTGGTTTTGGCACGTCCCGGTTTCTGAATCCACCTTCCACGTTTTCTTAAATTAATATGCATGTCTTGTTTCCCTAGAATATATACATCAACCGGAAGACATTCAATCAGCAATAAGAGAAAAGTAGTCATAAACAGTGGAACTAGCAAGGCACCCCATGATAATTTCTTATTTTCTAAATTTTAAGACTAAATATTTATTTCTATTGTATAATCTTGATTTCATCCTCACGTAAACAAGATCTGTCGCCTCTATGGATAATTATGTTATGCGGCATTTAATATAAGGATAATTTACGGCTCGACCGGTTCAACAAATGATCGGTAGAAAATCATGTTAATCTTCTTCTTTCATTTTATTTAAACTTATTGGGAAAATATTTTAATTTCCTCAAATCACAAGTAAATCTTAAATAGAACTAAAAGTTAGTTTTTTTTATTTGTCAACGTCAACTATCAAATCAACTTAAAACCAAATTATATTAATCTTCTAGCTAAATAGATCATTTTTATTGTTGGATTTAATTAATGACTACTTTATTCGTCGAAAATTTAACCTGTGGCATTGGAAATTTTGTGACCTTGAGATTTTTTCAAGGAATAAGAATTTATGTGCCACGTTAAAAACTTTTAACGATTGTGAAAAGTGAAGGTAAATTATATAGTTTATTATTTAACTATTTTCTCACTTATATTTTAATTATTAAAATTTAAATTTTTTAATTTATCAACTAAACTTTCAAATTATTCTTATTTAAGTTACTCTACGATGACATGAATTGTATTATTATTATTTTTTATTCTTACATGACAAATTTATTAATACTTAATGTCTAAAGAATAGAATAAAAATAATTTAAAATTTTAATTTTAATCCCTAAATCCCAGCCCAACCCTAATCCAACTTCCGATTCCACGACCACACACGCTGCTGCTGCACTTCGATGGACGAAGCCCCCCGGGGTGCTTAAGGTGAACGTTGATGGTGCACTCCGTTCTGTTACGCATACTGCTTCGGTGGGTGTTCTTGCACACGACCATACAAGTTTGATCATTTTCTGGGCAGGAAATTCCTCTCCATGGCCTTAGCGACCCAACTTTGGTTGAAGCTCGGGCCATCCACCTATGGTATTCGTCTTGTTTCTGAGTTACAGTGTGCACGTGTTGTGATTGTGAATGATGCTTCCAACATGGTTTCGCATCTCCTTTCTCACAATGGTGACTTGTTTGTGGTTCATTTTTATGTCGCCGAACCTCGCCAACTACTACAATCCCATCCTCATAACATGGTTCGTGCCATATGCCGTACTAACAACGAAGCGGCTCATGCGTTAGCAGCGTGGGCTGTTTCTCTTGTGAACCTTATTATTTTGAGTAGGATTGTTCGGAGTGCATTGATATATACTGTTTTTTTAAACGATGCCTGTTTTGGCTTATGTAATATAATTCCTATTTCAGAAAAAAAATGAAATAAAGATTTGTGACATGCGTGAAAATTGATGTTAAGATGGAGGAGTCGGATCGTAAATTATGTAATCTGTCCATTCCTTTTGCTCACCACCTTCAAATCTGTGAGGCTAGCTTTCCGATCCAACTGCATGCATGCAGGCATGCTCTCTCTCAATATGTATACACACACAATTACATACAAATTTAACCCTAGCCTAACTAGCTAGCTAAGTGGTTCATTGTTGAATTGAGATTTGGTAGTATTGTTTTGTTTTTAGTATTAAAAACAAAAAAGTACCTGATGTTGAATAGCGCAGCAGTTCCAAGGCTAACAAGTACTACAACTTGGGAGTACGGCAAGCGATTTGTTCCAAATCCCTTACATAACTAATCGGACTGGTGAATTATATCATGTCTCTAACAATTTTAACAATCTTAGACAATGGCGGATCATGGATCAAGTAATTGCAGCGTTTTGTTATTACCAGAACATAGATGTTTTGTTACGCTGAAAAAAATATGTCTGGGAATACAATATAAATCAAGGGGAAAAAATGCTATGGTTTACGAAAAGCTCGTCCAGCAACTAAAGCTGCCTCCATGACAACAGTGACGACATCAATGACGTCACCCACTCGGCATTTGTTTCCCATGAAAGTCCTCCCTCCTGCCCTCTGGAAATTCCTCATGCAGTTTAGGAAGCTTTGGCTGCACTCTTGACTCAAATAGTCATCTGCACCCCCAATTCATCAGCTCGATAAATACTATTTTAATATATTCACCAACTCTTGAGTCGGTGTACTGCTGCCCCCATCTAAGATTTGCATGCAAACGGCAAACCAAAACAGATTTAAAAATAATACTATTTTATTTTGATCCTAAGGTGGCATTTGGTTCGCTGAATGTTTCTGAGGGAATTGGAATATGTGAGGAAATTGGAATCTGTCAGGAATTGGAATCCAATTCCATATTCTGTTTGGTTCGCAGACATGTCAGATGAATTTGATTTCAGTAATGTAAAATGACAGGATTGTCCTTGTTTTTTTTTGCTTAATTTTAGTTTATTTTATAAATCACATGTAGCAATATATTATAAAAATTTAAAAATATTAAATTTTAATTTTATTGATTGATTATTCATTTCAATAAATTATAAAAATTATGTTAATAAACATCATAAGTTAAAATCATCCCAATTAGGGATGGCCATAGGTCGGGTTTTTGGTCCACCCGACCCAACCCGAGAACAAGGGAACCTCCATCTGAGACCCGACCCGACCAAAATAATGTTTCACCCGACCCGACCCGACCCGAATATATGAATTAGAAACCCGACTCTAAATAATAAAAAATTATTTTTATTCAATAAAAACAGTGACTTAATTGAAAAAAGTATATATAGAGGGGTATTATTGTAATTATTCCTAAATATATAAGGTAAAATTATATATTTTTTGGGTCGGGTATTTATCACCCTAAACCTGGACCCGACCCGAATATCACAATTAAAAAAACTAACCCGACCGGACCAAAATAAAGTTTCACCCGACCTGACCTGAATATATGAATTAGAAACCCGACCCGACCCGAAATAATAAAAAATTATTTTTATTCAATAAAACAGTGACTTAATTGAAAAAAAAAATATATATAGAGGGGTATTATTGTAATTATTCCTAAATATATAAGGTAAAATTATATATATTTTTGGGTCGGGCCGAGTCGGGTATTTTTCACTCTAAACCCGAATATCACACTTAAAAAAACGACCCGACCCAACCCGAATATATGAATTAGAAACCCAACCTGAAATAATAAAAAAATATTTTTATTCAATATATTAATAAGTTACTAAAAGATTGATGAGGGTAGTATGGTCAAATTTTAATTCCCTCCAACAAGGGAATTGAATTTCATCATAAAATAGATGAAATTCACTTTTCCTCATTTGATGGAAAGTTAAATTCATGAGGGACTCCAATTCCCTTTGAAAACTTGAACCAAACATGAGAAAATGATGGAATTAGATTCCAATTCCCCCTAATTCTAAGGGATTCCTGCGAACCAAATGCCACCTAAGTTGATTTGCATAAATGCTACAACATTTTTTATTTGTTACCATGTATGGTATAAAATATTAATGACATGTCACTAATTTTATTTTATATATCACACAAGTAATAACAACAAATTTATTTGAATAATTAAAAATACAAAAAAATTAAATTTTATTTTATTATTTCGAAAATAAATGATATTTTTTATACTTTTAAGTTTTTAATTTATTACTGAAAAATACCGGAAAAATATTATTGTGACGTACCATCCCCTTAATAATAAGGGCGTGGTGCACATTTTATAACAAAATCAAAATTTTAATATCCATTTTGTAATTTTTGAATATTCAATAATTAAAAAAATTGTTTTGAAATAATTTAGTAATGATTTGTAAATTTTACCCTTTTATTTAATAAAAAATTAAATATTTTTATAAATTATGTATATTCAAAAAAATTAATTAAATAAATATATAAGATAAAAAAATGTAATTTCAATAACATTTGACAATAATGAGAGTTTGTATTCAATAGAATGAAATGAATGAGTGAAATGGAAGAAGGTAGAGAAATGCATACTGTTCTTAGCTCCAACGCAGGCGTCGTGCTTCATACAGCAAGCATCAAGTCCGTCGCAAGGTCTCTCTCCAGGGCATCCACTGTACAATAAGCCGCAATACTTTCCATATCTCAGAAATGGAGGCACTGCATTATTTATCTCACTCTTCTTAATCCCACCCATGACCCAACTCTTTTTATTATTAACACCAAGAAACACCTAGAACATACCTGTACAGAACTGTGACTCACATATTCTACTGCATTCTCTGCTCTGCAAATAATGCCGAACCTAGCTTAAGCGAAATGATGGTTATATAAATGGAAAAAACAAGAACTGGACTCACCACGGTGACGGATGAACCAGCCACCTGAATTCCAATATTAAGGGCTTCAACTGGAACAGAGGAGAAGAAAGGGAAGCAAAAGAGAGCTAAACCCAAAAGCTGATGCCTCAGCATTTCCACAAAATAGCACTGAAATCGGAATAAGCTTAAAGGAACCAAACAGCGATTTGTTAATTACAAAAAAGAGAGAGAGAGAGAGAGAGAGAGAAAATGAGGTGGCGGGGATTGTCTTGTAATGTAATGGCTCGTGATCCCTTTCTTGGACTGTTGCTTCAACTTTACAAGTTACTTTGAGATGTCTAAATATATTTAAGGGTAGGTGTCGTAGAAAAAGGCCTTTCACCCAATTCATCTATCCTATTAATTATGGGTCTTTGAACGAATCCCACGTGACCCCATCCGAGTATGGCATGAAGCCCTACACAACCTCCATGAATTCCGCACTTCTAAAGAACCGCTCTCAACTTTATCAAAATCATCATTCCACTCGAACAACAACATTGCCGCTTTTATTACCCCACCTAATGCATTTGTTTTACTTTTTTCCCGATCACCTCCTGCTCGGTGCTTGCTATGGTATTTGTTTAATGCTGTTGCTGATGACATTCATTCATTCATTTTTTTTTCTTGCCGACTTGAAGAGTTCAAAGCTTTAATAAAAATACGAATCAACGCAGGGGTAGGTATCAGTATCAAATCAGTGTAAGGTATATTGGAGTGGATTGGCAAGGGAATGGTCTAGGTTTTAGTACGAACAAGCTTCGATAATGGACCGAAAATAGGTTGACTTTTGGAAGAAAGAACATTCAACTGGATTTTGAAATTTAGATTAATTCAGGAACAGATTTGTTCAGATGAATGGAGTTTTAAGTTAGAGCGATCACCTTGGCTCAATTGGCTGGCTGAAGCTTCCGATGTTCTTCCTTCACAAAGTTTGTTGCTTCTACCAATGCAACACAGCAACCCCTGAATCCAGCGGAGCCCTCATATAATTGAATCAGTGGCTCACACCCTTCACAACCATTACAGTAAATAGGCTCAAACTGGAAAACATCTAATTGTTTTCGTGGTTTAAACTGTTGGAATTTTAGAGGCGTGGCAAAGCAACTAAGAAACAGACAAGGTCGCATTCATAGTTCTTAATTGAACTTATACCAGAAGCTGTCCAAAACCTCTCAGTTCTCCAGAAGTCCGAGCCTCTAACTTAACCACACACTTAATCAACTAATGAAAAAAAATGTTTGTTACAGAGCATGGACAGAAAGGGGATTGTGTCAGGAATCACTTTGTGAAGAGCGAGTCCAGGGTTGCATAAGCTTCCCTAGGATTAATCACATACAATTATAGTCAACTGACGCAGGTGGAAGTGAGAAACAGTTCCGCATGCTTTGAAATTTGAAAACAACCCTTCACCTATAGGAACACCTAACGTTGATTCAATGATGTTTGCAGTGCACTTTTCAAAATAAAAAGTTATAATGTTTAACTTTCCATTTTCCCTAGCATACTGTGTGTACTTGATGTTATCATGCTTTTGTTTGGGGACTGTATTTGACAACTTAACAAACATTGTGGATATGTTTGTTGTAAACAATGTAGAGTCATGGTTACATTAAAAGTGGTTAGAAGAAGAGTAAAGAGAAAGGAAAAATCGGTGATTAAAAACAGCTGTGTTATGGTAATTTTTTGATTGATTGAACTGGGATGCGAGCGTTGCTTATTTTCTTTCATAAAATTATGGTAATTTGTGGGTGGGCTAAATACAAAGCCCTTTCCTTGGTCTAAAACATGAGCTTTTAGCTATTAGCAATAAATAGTCTTTTGAGAACATATAGATTCACGGTAGTGTAAATTGTACTGTGACTTCAAGCATTTGTGTCTTATTAGGTACAAGAAGGGGCCTATATAAATAATAGGTTTTCAGTTCCTGTAAAAATGTAGAATAGAGGAGAGTGAAATTAAGTAATCGTTTAGATTTCAGGTCGAATCATGTCAGATCAAATCAAATCAAATCGGGTTATGTTAAGTTAATTCAATGGTTCAACTCAGATTAGGTGGGTTAATTTCAGGTTGATTTAAATCAGATCCATTTTGGGTTCTGGTCTGGTTAATTTCAGGTCGAGTCAATTAGTTTAGGTCAAAACGGTTTGGATCTAAATTAGTTAAATTTAAGGTTAATTCAGGTTCGGATGAATTTTTGGGTCGGGTCACCTTCATATTAGGTCACATCATTGACAAATAAAATTCATCTCGGGTAATATTAGTTTCGAGTACACTTCAAGTCGGGTCATTTTCGAGTGAACTTCAAGTTGGGCCATTTTCGGGTGAATTATTTTATGCCTTCCATGCACGTCTAATTGTACTTGTATATGTTGGAGTAAATTACAAAAAAATAGAAATAATAATGGGCAGTTTATGATAAAAATAAAATTTTAAGGATTAAGTTAAACAAACATGAAATTACAAACTAAAATTTAAATAAATTAAACAATTGTAAAATGTAAAGTTGAAATTAATATAAAATTGATTAAATATGTAAGGATCGAATTGAACAATTGTAAAATGTAAAGTTTGAAATTAATATAAAAATTGATTAAATTACATTCATTATAAAGTTAATGAACAAAATTAATAGGTTGAAATTATGATATAATTTATAGGGTTTGAAATGGAGTTTATGATGTGATTTTTAGGATTTGGAGTAAATTACCAAAAAAATAAAAATAATTATAAGTCAATTTAGAATAAAAATATAGTTTTAAGGATTAAATTAGAATAAAAATATAGTTTAAGGATTAAATTGAACAAAGATAAAATTACCAATTAAAAAATTAAATAAATTAAACAACAACAAAATTAAAATGAAATAATTTAGAAAGTTAAAATTAATATCAAAATGGATTGAAACCTATGCCTTAGGTTTTATTCATAACCTACAAGGTCTAAAGACGCAACGACTTGAGTCTCGGACTTAAATGTAGAAATATTTACCTGCTATTACTGTTCATCATCATGTACATTTAAAGCTGTTTGGATAATATGTTGTGTAAGTGGGCCTTTAGAATTGAAAGTTTCATGGTTATCTACACCTAGTTGACTTGCAACACCTACGTGTATTATGAGTTGTGTTGTTGCATTCTTGGAATCAGATTGCTCAAACAATGCAAATACCATTTTCCTACGCCGATCATAACCCTGCAAGAGAGTAGGATGAAGTTAAAGGCAGCTCAACACAGGTTCAGTTGGCTCAACAGCTGATTCAGGTACAAGGCTTTGTGTGATGATGTTTTTGTTAGTTTAGACTTTAGACGCAAGAAAAGAGAATTATTGGGGCTAATGGCCTGTTTTGTGTTTCTCTTAAAGGGGGTTGATATCTATGTCTGCAATGGCGTCATCTGTGTATGGATTAGATTTACATATTTTTGGGTTCATTCAGGAGTTGATGAGCAGTCACAGGCAGCAGCAGCTGGAGATATAGGTCATCTGAGAATTTTTCTTCACTATCCATGGGGGATGTTCTTCAAGTGTGGGTAACTACTCTACTTCTGGGCTTTAAGGTATCATTTCCTTAACTTGGGAGGCTCTTCTATCTGGGTGCTTTGTTGTTGGGTTTCGGAGATCAAACTGTAATTCCTAAAATTATCCATCTTCCCGCTTTCTTCGTTTTAAGTAATGCCCATTGTATCAGCACTTTAAGCTTCATTCCTATTGGAATGTTGGTTTCTCTACTCGGTCATAATTTGGTCTATGTTCCTTTATGAAAGCTCTACATTAGTCCACTGTTTTTAATTCATTGCACTCTGATTTCTAATAATTCCTCGTAAAAGTTAGTGATTTAATGATACAATTTCTTAGTGTTATGAGTTGAACTGAAATGACGGATTTTTATAACATGTGAGGATCATATTTTGGCAAATAAAATAGAGTGATTAGTGATGAAATTCATTGTTATCACACCTTTTATTTCAACAGGGGATGTTTGGATTATCTTAAAATTCCCGGGTTTCTCACATCTTTTCAACGCTTTTTTTGGTGTAAAGGCTTTGAATTATTTGAATAATGTAATCATAATTATTCTTATTTAGATTATCTTAAAATTGCTGGGTAAATACAAGTCAATATATGTTTAAAAACTCTCAACCATTTAAAAATGAATGCTCATACCCCTCAAACATGGTGCTCGATCGGAACATCAAGTGATAACAACAAATATATTACATTTATATATTATAATATTAAAACATTAAATATCATTTGAATTGGATTATTTGTAGTCTAAAATAAATATTTATCTTTTAAAGATATTTCTAAAATAATATTAAATTTTAAATTATATTAAATATTAACAAATAATAGTAAATATAAAATATTTGATAAAAATCAGCATCAATTAGTTTGAAAAACATACTTTTCACTCATTTATCAAGTAGCGTAGTCCACCAGCATGTGAAGGTTGGGCTGGGAGTAAACGTCCCCATAACTTGCAGATACATTCAAATTTCACCCATGTTTGGATATATAAAGATCTGAATTGAGATTTAGTAAAACTGTCGCATTAAATGCTTAACTTGTTCAGTTTAAATAAATATCAAAGGAAAGACAGCCGACAGGATATCATGTACTACTAACTCTTTATTTTAACACTAAATAATTTTACTTGGGTTTTTAAATTGTGTTTGAAAATTTTGATTTTTCAAGTAAATTACGAAATCGTATTCAAAGTTTGTGTTAAAAATTTGAAAATGTTAAAAACAACCCGGCAGCCGGCATGATTCTTATCCAGAGCGAAGGGTTGAAGTTAAGATGGCATTCTCCACCTCGTCCTTTGCTTTGTACACTACACCACGTGATAAGGGTATTTTCAAATTCACCTTTGTGGACATAAGATAACACACAAATTATCAACATAAGTGTCTTGCAGCCTGCTTTTCCACGCTCAAAATGTTCATGTATTATGAACTCAAAATAATAATAAAAAATTACTATATTTTATCTGAGACTTTAAATATCCCGTTGGTTTCTTTTTCATTTTAAGAAAAAGAAAATAAGAATATAGCGAACTGAATTTCTTATACGTGCAAAATTTATGGATTTTAATAAAATATCTTAGAATAAAAAGGGGAAATTTGACTTTGACCCTCTAGAAAGCACAAGCTATATGTCATGAT